GGATCAAAGGCAGTCTCCCAAATCCTCCCAGCCTTCCTCCATCCTGCGCGTCTTGCCTCCATCCCCATGCTGCCTGTGCCGGCTTGCTCCGCTTGCCAGCGGCGCCGTCAGAGCCTGCGGATGGCATCCTGCTGTCCAAACGTATTTGTATGCTGAGTCATTTTTCCACTTGCTCATATCTTTCCAAAAAATGCACATTTTTTCATGTTTCATTTCAGCCCAGAGGCAAATGTTTCTGGAATACTTGCCTTTCTCCAAGGTATTATGCTTTTTAATAACGTTGTCACCACACTTGACCTGTCCAATTCAGATGATATCTACACTTCCCTTTGCAAACATACACATCTCTGAGCAGTCACTTATTGTTGAATCTTGCCAGCTGATTCCTAGAAACAAACATCTGGAGAGTTGCATTTACAGTGTGTATTTTTTACAGTATATTGTCTTACTAGATTTAATTCAGCTTAGCTAATCTTTATTTTAAATAGAATTTTAAATTGGATTTTTCTCTCAAGTTCTGCTAATAATAAATTTCACTTATCACCCAGTGTACATTTTTTTAAATATTGTCAAACTCTTGGAGTAATTTTCCCACTGGAGTTCATTGCGTGTAGAATTTAGACTTACCTACTATTGACTTGAAGTTTATCAGTGATTTCTTCTTCTCAAATATCACTGATCTTTTCAATCTTCTAAAAGGCCTTTTTTCGCCGCTACTTATTAAAATAAATAGCATCATTACAGAAGGCAGGGGCAGTTTTGCTGCAGAGGTGCTGAGAGCTTTAGTGCAGTTTACAAAGCTACCGAGAGATTTAGTGGGACTTATGCCGGTGGACGAGTGCACTTTAGCATTAGCGTTTGTGCGTGTTCCTGGATCGCTGATGTGTATTTATGGTGTGGTCTTTATGTCAGGGGATCTCCCAGACTCCGTGTGGCATCGGTGAGGCAGCGCGTGTCCGTGCCCTGCTCTGGCACTAACCCCTGGGATAAATTCCCAGGTGCTTGCGGGGAAGCCTTGCCCGCAGGACACTCTGCTGGGGACAAAACAGCCTACGGGGGCGCCCAGGGCAGGAAAATGAAGCCTCTCCCGGCAGCCTGGTCTGCCATGGGGCAGGGGACGTGGTTCTGCGGGAAGCGCAGAGGCCGCTCGGCTCCGAGCGGCGCTCCTCGAGCCCGCGGACACGCTCTCGCTGGGCAGAGCCTGGCAGCGCTCACAGCATGAATTTCTCCTTTCTCTTGCAGTCAATTTTGTTGTCAGCCTCAATCAAGCGGGAAGGAGATTCTCCGACAGCATCGCCCCACTCTTCAGATGACATCCATCACTCGGACAGATACCAGGTAAGGAAGCAGTTACAGCGGCTGGGCTTGGACGGGGAACCAGCGCGTGCAGCTCTCCACGAGCGAGCGCACTGGCTCTCTGCTCCACAGCGGTGCCCCGTCCGTCTGCCTGCACAGCGGGACGTCAACGCTTGGTCCCCTGCGTGGCTGGGGAGGGGTGCTGCTGTTTGCAGTGCCCTCCCTGCAAAACTACTTTAAATCTTTGTGGTGGCTTCTGTTACGCTAGCCATGCCAGCAAGTAGCAGGCCTTGACTTGGTGCAAGACAATGAGTAAAGTTCAGGGAGATGGAGAAGGGGAAGGAGAAGAAAGCAGCGGCAGGGGTACAGTTCTGCTTGGATGTCTGTGCACCTTGAGGGTACACTGGCTCACTCAGCTCTAGCTCGTCACATCCCCAAACTGTTTGGCCTCAAGTCTGTGCCCACAGACTGCTTTCAAGTAAACTTCAGAAGGCATCAGATAAAAAAGGTGAAGTCCTAGCAGGGACCCACACATGCCTTCACCAGCCGTGTGGATGGGCTGGGCAGGCAATGGTTTGACATATGTCCATCACCCTAGGTCCTTAGACATGATATCCTATGCCTAAGGCCAGCTAGACAGCTCAGGCTTTCGCACATTGGCCACTGTCACATGTGCCCTAAGGCTGTCTTTGGATCTACACAGCCCAATGACCAGCACTAGGGGTTTAGCCAAGCAGCCCCAATGAAAGCAAATGTTCTTCAAGATGGCTCCTATTAGTAGCAGAATTGTACATTTGTTGCCCATTATTCCATCCTCTGTCCTCTTTATTGGTTATTCTACCAAATATGGGCCAGATCCTCCTGTCTGCCACATAGCCCAGCATATAGTGTGGGTAAGAGCCTTCATTTATGATTTGGTGGCGCATCACACACACACTACCCTCCTATCAATGGTGAAACCTAGTGCAAAGTAAAAGAAGCAAACCGTGCAAAGACACAGGAATGTGTGATTCAGGTAGTTTTGGTCTCTTTTCCGCCTCTTTATGAAGGCTGATAAATAAATAATATTCTTCCCAAAAAGATGTGAAAGAGATTTTTGCAGTGACCCCATTCATTTGAGAACACCCCTCCTTTCTCATGTCTCCTGACTTCATTCTTTGTGAAATTGGTGGTCCCTTGCAGTCCTCTGTTCCTATAAATTTTTATTATGTCATACTTGAGGACAAATATTCGCAGCAGAAGCCCCCTCTATGTGCTGAGTCTAGCTAGACTGTAATGTGTTTTAAGTTTGTGGGTGTATTTTATGGAGGGTTGTAGCCCCTAATGCAAATGTGTAATGGGAGTTGTAAGTCTGCACTGCAGGGAGAAAAGACCTCTGGGGCCTGATTTTCATTTACCCTTATGCTGCTTTATGCTGCTCTGGCAGTGTAAAGGGACCTTCGGGTGGGTGCCAGGGCTGTGTAAAGCCTCGGTGTAGCCTTCATAAAGCCACAGGATGAATGAGAATTTAGTCCTCCTGGCTTAGCAAGCAAAATGCTCTGAAACCAGAACGGAAGACTCTCACCGAGACTTTAAAGGCTGCAAAATATAGCTTTTCATATGCAGAGAGGTGCTGGAACTATGAATGTTACTTATGTATTTGTGATCCAATAACAAATATGCACCGCATTAGTAAAATGTTGGATAATGAGTTATTGGCGTGTAGGTTGTCACAATTCCTATGGCTTGGCTTTCTTACTCCCCATGCTGTGAACGTACATGAAATATGAAGGAGACTTGCGGATAGGGAGCTGAGGAAGCGCTGGATTGCCCATCCCCTGCGCCGGGTTCGCATTGCTCCCGGGGCCGGGAGGCAGCCGCGGCGCTGGGGCAGCTCCAAGACACAGGGAGCCGGCTCTGCCCTGCTGTCCCGTGCCCAGGCTGCTGGGGTTTGGTGTGTGGACACCACCAAGGCGGTAGAAGCTCAAATAGTGCAGGACATCATGGTATGGGCCAAGCGAGGGTGCTGCTCCTATGTACAGTGGCTTTTCCTCAGCTCCAAGTAAAAATAAAGCCCTGCTAGTGCCTTTTCTTGCTGTATCTCCAGTGGAAAAGCAACAGCAAGTTTTAAGTCGTTCACTGTACCACAAAGACAGCATTTCGTGCTCCTCTGCTAGGAGGGAGATCAACTTGAGCGGGTCAGCCGAGCCTGCAGAGTATTTGTGGATGAGTAACATGTGGCATAAGTATAAAGAAAAACCTAAAAACCTTGTCCAAGAAAGCCTCAGCTCCCTCCATGCGAGCCACAAAGGCAAGCAAACATCCTGAAACACAACTTAATTAGTAAAAATAATAATTCATCAGCTTTCATTTTGTAAGAAGGCACATATATGAAAATACATTTGCATTTCAGCATGTGGTGGGAGCTGGGATCTATGTAAGTCAGCGCTGGACAAGGCTACCAGCCAGCCCATGAACTTTGTCCCCAAATCTTCTGATAGGCAAAATATTCCGATTCTCCATATGGACGGCAGGGTGTCAGGTGCCAGTCTGTGACCCAAGCAGTATGTTTGATTCAACCAAGGACAGTCTGGGGACTGTGCAAAGAAGAGGGTTTTGTTTGTCTAGCAATGGGCCCTTGCCGTTTCCTGAGAGCCCGGCACACCTGCAGACGGACATCGGAAAGAACTTCACTGGTCATTTCTGATTGCCTATTTTTGATTTGTTTTGATGAAACACAGCAAGAGCTTTAGAGCAGACAGGGAGGTGGCGGTTCCTCGTGTCCCGAGCCGGCTGCAGCCGCGCACAGACAGCAGCGCTTCACAAATGTGTTTTTTTTTTTTTTTTTTGCAAAATCACATTGTTTTGCCCCGTGGCACTGGTGCCCTTCTCTGATTAGCCAGGAGCCCTTGGGCCCACACACCCCTATCCCCTATTGGGCAGGAAATCTTGGGGTGCGCTCAGCCCCTGGGCCCGGATTGGTCAAGGAATCTTGGTGACGCAAGCACTTCTGGCCCTGATTGGCCAGTGCCTTTGGGTCTCTCATTGGCAGGAGACTCTCAGGGTGCAGTTGCCCCAGTGCCCTGACTGGCTAAGTGCCTCGCGTTCTGCTGCCCGCGGGCGCTGATTGGCCAGGTGCCCCTGCTTTCCGGTGCCCGCGGGCGCTGATTGGCCGGGTGCCCTTGTGTTCTAGTGCCTGCGGGCGCTGATTGGCCGGCTGCCCTCGGGTTCTAATGCCCCTGGGCGCTGATTGGCCGGCGCTCCCCGGCCCCGCCG